TCTCTTAAATGGGCACTTGATCCCATTCAGCAGGATTCCCACAAATTATATTTACACTATAATCAGCTATAATATAATCACATATAATATAATCAAATATATACATATATAGAGATACATATGCACACAGTCAAACTGCATAACGATAATTACCAGGAATGAATAAAGTCAAACAAATATTACATTATTCTGTTTTGACAATTTAAATGCAACGCTTTTGGTTTCTGCAAGGAGAGATTCTTTTTGATTTTTTCTTTCCAATGGAATGCCAGAAAGAATGTAAGTAAAATGTCCATCGGTAGCATAACTGTCCAAAATAACCGAACAGATCAAATCTGGTATGGGTTAGAAGCCAGCAAAAAAAAAAAAAAAAATCAGATTAGAAAAAGAAACTAGATCAGGATAGAGGCTGCAAGGGGGAAAAAATAAAATAAAAACCACCCAATTCATTCCATTTGGAGACACAGCAAAGCAAGGGCTCAGAATATTAGTGTCTCCTCCATACTTCCGTTCTGGTCACATGACCCAGAGCTAAGTCATCATTAAGGGAATGGAAAACATTTCAAGTGCCAAACTCTGCATGCCTGCTATAGCAATAGCAATAAGACTCATATACGGCTTCATAGTGCTTTTACAGCCCTCTCTAAGCGGTTTACAGAACCAGCATATTGCCCCCAACAATCTGGGTCTTCATTTTACTGACCTCAGAAGGACGGAAGGCCGAGTCAACCTTGAGTCGGTCAGGATTGAACTGCTGCCAGTGGGCAGAGCCAGCCTGCAATTTTAACCATTGCACCACCCTGGTTCTACCAATCTATCAATTACAACCCATGGGTCTTCTGGATTTTGTTGTTCAGACACTAAGTCATGTCCAACTCTTTGTGACCCCATGGACCACAGCATGCCCGGCCCTCCTGTCCTCCACTATCTCCCAGAGTTTGTCCAAATTCATGTTCATTGCATCAATAACACTATCTAACCATCTCATCTTCTGCTATCACCTTATCCTTTTGCCTTCCCTCTTTCAAAACATCAGAGTTTTTTTCCAAGGAGTCCTCTATTCTCATTTGGTGGCCAAAGCATTTGAGCTTCAGCTTCAGCATCTGACTTTTCAAAGAATGGCCAGGGTTGATTCCTTGACTGGTTTATCTCGTTGCAGTCCAAGGGATTCTTAACACCACAATTTAAAAGCAGTCTTCTGGATACCCCCCTTCTCATTAATCTGAAACTGGTCATATTAGTCATGCAGCCATCCTTCATCTGATTTATATAACCACCCATTAGTTGATGTGTGGAAAGTCTATCCCAGGTTTTAGGCTGGCTGGGGAATTCTGGAAGCTGAAATCCACCCACCATAAAGTTGCCAACTTTGAAAACACTGGTCTAAACAATGGTTTACTGCCTTTGGTAATAAATTCTTATCTGGCAAAGTCTTGAAGAGGCTTCGGAGAACTGGTTCCAAATGCACTTGACAGGCAAAAAACGGTAGCCATTTTGGATCCAGTTCCATTCAAAATGCTAGCTTTCTTCCTTAAAGCTCTGAAATGCTTCATTTCCAAGTCAAGGTCAGAGTAGCATCAAAATACAGGTAGTCCTCGACTTACAACCACAATGGAGCTGAAAATTTCTGTTGCTAAATGAAACATTTGTTAAGTGAGTTTTACCTCATTTGACAACTTTTCTTGCCACTGTTGTTAAGTGAATCACTGCGGTTGGTAAATGAGTAACACGGTTGAGTAACTGGTTTTCCCACTGAATTTTCTTGTCAGAAGGTTGCAAAATAGGATCACATGATCCTGGGACACTTCAACATTCATAAATATGAGTCAGTTGCCAAGCGTCCGAATTTTGAGCATGTAACTATGGGGATGCTGCAACTGTTGTAAGTGTGAAAAAAGTTCATAAGTCACTTTTTAAACACTAGTTGTAACTTTGAACCATCACTAAACGAACTGTTGTAAGTCGACAACTACCGGTATTTCCAATAAGTCAATGCTGCCAGAGTAATAAAAGAGAAAACCAGAGACAATAGGATTTTTTTTGGTTTGAGACATCTCAATGAATCATATAGAAAGATTTCCAATAAATGCTCATTACATTTCTCCATGTTGTATCATCTGAGTAAATAGAATTCAAAATGCAGAACTATAATGGAATAGACCATCACTGTCTGCCATTCAAACTTAACATTGTCTTTATTCATGATAAAATCTTTGGTATTTGAGAAGGATGGCCAAACAATGTTGGTGATATCAGAATATAAACATGGGGCACCTGAGGGGAAAAAAAAACCCATCTTTGCCTAGCCTAATTACATGTATGATTATTGGTGTATAATCACTTAATAATTTTAATATTTTATATTGTTGTTTTATGATGCTGTAAGCTGCCCGGAGTCACTTGACAGTTAAGATGAGTGACATATACACTTAATAAATAAATAATAGTATCACTGCATGGTTTTTTCTACCCCAACATCTTTCAGCAAGTGATTTGGAACTATTTTGAAAAAAAAAATACTGGTAATTATTCTTAAAAATATAATTCATAGGTAGAGTAGGGATTTTATCAACTGCAACTGTTTCTGCTTCAAACATTTCACTAAATAGTTTTCAATTGGCCATTTTGAGGGTTCTTTTTTCCAGCAGAGAAAAATTAAGTCCTTAAAATGTTACAGAAAATCATTAAGTTTTTATATAACCAAGCAATCAACAATCTGGCTTGCTACTTAAACAACAAAAAAATGACAATCAATAAAACCGTTGAATTTCATTCTTTTCTTTTCTTTCTCCCTTTATTCGATTTGTTATGACAAGAGAAACAAGAAAATGCATCTCTCTGATTTCTTGTTAGTGGGGAAAATTATTTTTTTTAAAAAAAATACTGATATTTGTTATTTTCTTAGCAAGGAAAAGAACACAGATTCAATGATTAACCAAAGAAAAGAAATGTAGTAAATTACTTTAAGAAAGGATGGTTTAAAGGCCTGGTCCTTACTTTAAGGTACATGGATTTCAATTCCCATAATTCCCCAGCCAGCATGAGGAATTCTGGGAATTGTAGTCCACATATCTTGGAATTATATAGTCTCCAAAACACTGGCTTAGTCCAACAATATTTCTGAGCATTCTCAAAAAGAATAAAGTATCTCTAAATTCACTGTCCTGAACATTCCCAAGGATTTGAACACATGCTGAGGTAATAATTATATCCAATTTATTTCAAGAATTTATTTTACCCAAGATGCTTAAAACCACAGCCTTAAAGAAAATACTTTCATAACACATTTTAGCCAAAATGTAGCAGTTTCTTTCTTCCTCTCAGTACAAAACTAATGAAAAAAAAAAAATCTAGTCACACACAAAGCGTAACTTTTCATAGATTGATACACTAAGTATATGCAGCCAACACAGAAGGCCACTGTGAATACATTTTGTCTGGCAAGAGTGTTTATTTGAGTAACATACTGTCTTTTAGTATTTCACAATTGCAACTGGATTTAAAATCGTTTGCTAAACAACAACAATCCTCAAAGGCACTTTATTAAAGCTTGAAGGTCACCCAGAAAAAAAGTCCTGAATTGTCAGATTCCAGCTGCTACTCCACCCCATCCAGGCAAGATGAGAGAGAATCATATGACTTGTAAAATTCCTCCCGTCTACATCTTTTGGGGATCAGAAACCCAGAGATCCATGGTAGCAGCAGGAGTGATTATCTTTTTGTTGAAGTGCAAGCAAAGCTCTGATTTTCCTTTATCTTACTAAACTCCTTTCAGAAGAAAGCTTGAAAGATGACATAAGGGGATTTAAAAGAAGCTGTGAAGATTGTTGATTCAGATCCCAACAAACCTTGGAAGAGCCAGCCAAAGGGATTCAAACCCACCAACCCCCATAACAGACTCTTCTCTTAAGCTGAATGAACAGCCGATCGGAGCATTTGATTGGTTACATTCATTATTTGGGAAATTGTACTAAACAGTACTTAAGCAGCAAAAACTACCAAGCTGCCACAGCACAGTAGAAAGTTACAATTCTATTGAAACAATGCCATTCCTCCAACGAGACATTCGTAAGCAATTGATCTTATCCTTTGGTTCTTTACCCAATTAGTTAACAACATTAAAACGGCTTTAAGCAAGACTCTGAATAAAGACACAATTACCACCAATCTTTCAGAATGTCATTTTATCTTCCCTAAAGCAAAAGCATTATCAGCGCAATCTCGGTGTCAGGGAATTAAAGCTCTTTCAAAAAGGGCAGAAAACATTTTCTGCCAGCAATAATTTAAACTGATGCCAGAAAAACACTAGGTTAATTTGATAGCCTTTTAACCAATGGCCGTAAGATGCTGGGATAACAATTTAAGGAATGATACGGATAATGACCTGATAGAAAAATAAAACAGATTAGTTTTGCTTCATTTTTGCAGAAATGTCTTCTACTATGCATTCTTGAAAAACACAGTCATCCAGTCCAGTCCACACATTTGCAGATGTGAAGAATGACACCTATATCTTTGTTAATCGTGACCTTTTAATTTTGGGGGAAATGGATTAGACCGAGCACATTACTACTGCCACAAAATAATCCACACCGCATCCTCCCTTACTTTCATCATCTTCCAACTTCTCATCAGTGCCTTCACCGGGGTTCTGCATTTGTGAGCAATTTCCTCCACTCCTTGTCCTTGCCACTAATTATTTACTGTTTCACCTGTGCTAAAGATACACCAAGCTTCATTCATTCCATACAACCATTTCCTCTGCGTAATTATATGGACAAACAATCCTGCCTCTGTTGCCCCTAGTGTCATCATGAATGCAAAAATAAATAGCAGGATATGGAAGAGAGAGCACGCAGCCTCGCCTGCCTCCGAGCTTTTCAAAAGAGTACAGGAGCCCCGAAGCCCCTTATCGCCCAGAGCACACATGTCACAATCATGAAGAACACACAAGGCAGCACCCGCCACCGAAAAGGAGGAGAAGCACTGATGTACTGTACCTCTTCTAGCAGCGTGACGGTGTTCCTGCAGTTCTGTAGCCGGGTGGTAAAACTGGACGTCGTTGGGGAATTGTAATCTTCCGTCGTCTCAACAATAAACTCCGACACAGTGATCTGGTCCGGCATGATCCTGCCCCACGGGGACAGTCGAAAAGCCACAAGGAGAAGAAAGGGGAGACAAGGAGAGAGTGAGAGCATTAAACATAAGGCAGGGCATCAAGGAGAGATCAGCTGGGCTCCTGACTGCAGTGGGAGCCTGCTGGAAAGAGAGGAGAAGCAGGATGCCCTTCCGGGTAGAGATTATACTAACTAGGGGGGTGGGGGACCATCTCCCCTGGGCCACCTCTGTCTGACTAAAACCAGCTCTTCTTCCACCATCCAAAATCAGCAGGAGCTGCTCAGGTTGTCTCAGAGCCCCTATTCCCCAAAGGGAGGGGGGCGGGTCCCAGGCTCACCCCAAACTATCCCCACCCCCAAGACTTTGCCAACAAGCTGCCAGCCCAGTGCCAGGTCCAGCCATGCACCCACCACCACCACCCCTTTTTGCAAAAATGCAAAGTGATCCCTCCCAGCTCCAGAAAGCCACTGGATCTCTCTTGGTCCCAGCAATGGGCAGGAGAGGAGTGGGATGGGCAGGAGAGGAAGGGGCCCCTCCGCTAAGGTCTCCTCTCCAGCCCCCCCCCCCCCGAGAAGGACGTCGCGCCTCCGGGGTACACCAGCTCTTTGGCATCTCCCCTTCCCCAAAATTTAGGGGAATCCATCCAGCTCTTGCTTCTTGGCCCCGGTCGCGCCCCCTCCCCACCACCACCCTGGAAACTGGGGGGGGGGAGGGAGAAGCTGCTTTGCAAGGGATGGACCCCCCCCCCTTGGCGGGTTGCTGCAGGAGGGTCTCCCCTTCTCCCCCAGAGCTACTAACTTGCGCAGGCGCCCCCTCTGCCCCTCCGCTGCGCCCCCCCAAGATGGAGCGGGGGGGGGAGGGACCCGGCGAGGGGAAAATCAGCAACAGCAGCGGAGGAAGAGGAGGAGGAGGAGGAGGAGGAGGAGAAAGGACCCCCAGCTGCAACCTCCCCAGCAAAGACCGCCGAGCCTGCCCGACCGTCCGTCCGCCCGCTCTCCAGACGCGCCTCTTCCTCCCTCCCTCCCTCGCGCTCTCTCTCCGCGCGCGCTCCCGCGCCGCCTGCTGCAGCCGCCTCCGCCAGCGGGCGGGCGGGGGCAGCAGAACGCACGCGCGTGCCTGCCTGCCTGCCTGCTCGCCTGCCCCGCCTACTCCGGAGCGAGAGTGGGGAGGAGGGACGACGGTCAGAGAGAAAGAGCGCGGGCGTAAACGCGCAGGCGCGCTCTCTCCTTCGGGTTCGCTTGAGATCTCCGGCGACGCATGCGCTCTGGTGGGTTTTTGTTTTAAGCGAGCGAAAGAGAGGGAGAAATGATTTTACCAACGCGCCCCGCCCACTCCTCCTGCTTCTGCTTCGCCGCCGCGCCTCGCGGTCACGTGAGGAAAACAAGGAAGTGGCCGGCGCACGCGCCTCGTCCCTTTACCACCCCCCCTGCGGCGGAACTCCAGCATAGGGGCGAGCGGGGGAGTGTGTGTGCGCGCGCGCGGGAGGGGGGGGAAGCAGCAGCTCCTCATCCGCGCGCGTGCCCGCGGCAGTCCCAGCTGTGGTCCAGCTCCCCCCCACCCCCCACCCCGACTTTTGGATGGTGGCAAAGTTTTAGCTCCTAATCCAACAAACAAAAATGTGACTGGACTTTGCTTAGGGAGAAAGGTCCCAAAAGGTGCTTTTTTTTGTTGTTGAGGCAACTGGACTTGATTGTGTTTTTTTTTCTTTTTGAAGACGTTTCTCTTCTCATCCAAGAAGCTTCTTCAGCTCTGACAGGATAGTTGGGGGAAATGGACACTTATCCTGTCAGAGTTGAAGAAGCTTCTTGGATGAGAAGAGAAACGTCTTCAAAAGAAAAAAAAAGCAAATCCAGTTGCCTCCCCCCAAAAAAGCACCTTTGGGACAACCATGACCTGGATGACTGAGAATCTCTACAGACACTTAAGGAGAAAGTCAAAAGAGAGATTCTGTGAAAAGCTCAAAGGATTTGTGTTTCATTTGTTGCTTTTATTTGGGAAAGAAGAATATCCAAGCTGAGGGGAGGAGGAAGAGGACTTTCCCAGTTCAGACTTGGAAGGGACCTTGGAGGTCTTCTAGCCCAACCTTTGGTGTAGGGTCTCCTGCTTGAGCAGGGGGTTGGACTAGAAGACCTCCAAGGTCCCTTCCAACTCTATTCAGATTGATTGATAACCTTATAGCATTTCAGACAAACGGTTGTCCAGTTCAAAACATAAACTGCGGAGGCAGACTCAGTTAAAAAGATTAAATTCTTCAACATAACAAGCCAAGGAATTATTTTATCTGAAAGAGCCAGTTTGGTCTAACTGTTTAAGACAGGGGTCTCCAAACTTGGCAACTTTAAGACTTGTGGACTTCACAAGTCTTACAAGCTTTGCTGGCTGAAGAACTCTGGGAGTTGAAGTCCACAAGTTTTAAAGTTGCCAAGTTTGGAGACCCCTGGTTTAAGACATCAGGCTAGAAAGCAGGAGACCTTGAGTTCTGGTTCCACCTTAGCCATGAAAGCTGGCTGGGTGACTTTGGGCCAACATTTGGAGACTGTCCCTTCTAATCTTGGGAACTCATGCAAAAAGAAACTCCTCTAAGGATGGAACCTCACGAATTGAATTAAAAAGAAAACTGGTGCAAATTTTGGAGGGAAGAAAAGGCCACAAACAATTTAATCCTATTTTGTCACACCACACTTTCTCTTTTTAAAAGTAGGCTGACCCACATTTCCTTTACAAACTTGTTCCTTTGTTTATTGCTTGGTTGGAATGGGGGGGGGGAGGGAGGCATTCAGCTGGACCTGCTCATCTGAATTCAAAAGAATTTCAAAGGCTAAAAGTCAAAGTGAGATTAACTTCGCTTTGCAGGACGGAAAGGCTTTTCAGGTTCCTGTGAACAGAAGTAGCCAAATAGGAATATTTTTCGACAAATGGGGTTGCTGTGCTGGTTTTGAAAAGTCGGACTGATTCCTCTGTAGGAGATTGCAAAAATGGGGCAACTCCAGCATTGATCACCCAAGACAAAGGAGGAACCTTGTATGTGTGTGTGCCACCACTTCCCCAAGAGTGTGGAGACCTCGGTGCTCTCTGAGCTTGGTGGTTTTTTTGCAGACATTTTGTTACCAAGCTAGGTAACATCATCACTTCCCCAAGTCCACACCTTACATACTCTGAAGAAATGAATTTGTATTAATTGCCAGGCAGTGAAGCATGACAGAGAAATGCTGAAATTGGTGCACCCATTCAACAGAAAATAAGGTCAGTGTGATTGCCCCCCCCCTTTCAAATCACACCTCCAGCTAAAGAGAAAATGTCACAGATTTTGCACATGTGCCTTTTGATGGAATGGGGAAGAAAAAGGATACGGTTACTCTTATTGGTAAAGCTAAGAATTTGACCACAAGATGAAGCAACTTCATGGGAAAGCTGCAGGGGAAAAAAAGGTGTAACTGAGGCATGTTAATACCAAAGTATGAGGGGAGCCTGCCCTATATTACTCTCATCTCGTGAAAATGCAGTGTTTGATGTGGCTTCTTTGTATGTGTGGGAATTCCTTTGGCCCCCGCTGAAATGGGTGTGTTTGTGTATGTGTGAAAAATGATCTCCTACCATCTGTTGAACATCCTTTTACATGACAAAGTGAACTTAAAATATACATGGTAAAAAAAAACCCTGACCCTTACTCACTGTAGCATCTCAGGGCAGGACCAAGAAGCAATGGGTGGAAACTCCTCAGAAGGAGTTCCAAACTGGAAACATGGAGGACTTTCCAGATTATGAAAGCAATTAACCAATGAAATAGCTTGCTTCCAGGACTTGTGGATGCTCCATCACTGGAGCTTTTCAAGAAAAGATTGGAAAAAAACATTTCTCCAGAATGGTATAAAGACTCCTGCCTTGGGGGGTGGACTTGATGACCTCCAAGGTATATTCATGAATCTATGAAACATATTGGACTGCCTGAGGACCAAACTGTGTTACTCACAGCCTAATGACAGGGAAAAAAACAAACTAGGAGCGGTATTGCTTAACTCTTTCCCTTCCTGCTATTTTAGTCTCCTCAAATTGCCTTGGGCAATTTAGCTGTCCACATCCTTCACTTTATATTCCCCAGTGGATTTTCAATCAAATATGGAATGTCCGTTAATTTACATGCAGACTGTTAGTGAATCAAGGGAAAGGACTGAAAGTTTTATTTTTCCTTTTACCCTTCCTGTTCTGTCTGCAATTATAGGAGTCCCCTTTATATTCATCATAGCCTTCGGTTAACTTTCTTTCTCTGCCCCATTTTAATGCTTTGAAAAATGTGTATGTCTCAATAGTTCCAAATTTAATAAAGCCAAAAGGAGGTTTAATTCCATTTTCTGGCATCTTTTCTTCATGCTTTCATAAATATCATTAAGATTGGAATCTGGAGAATGACAAATACTTTGTAATTTAAACATATGTTGAAATCCCACAAATTTCAGAGGGATTTAGACTCACCAAATATTCTTATTTTGGAATTACAAATTCAAAAGGGGGCTGTAACTCAAACATTCCAAATTTAGTCCCATTCTCTGGTGTTTGTAACTAGATTTGGGGGAAATCTAACTGAAAAGTGGCCAACTAACTCTTTCTTAATTTAATAACCTTTGGATCTGTTCAGTTTCCATTCTCATAATCCTCCTTCGGCACAGCTGGTGTAAACAACAGCGAGCTGGATGGATGTGAAGACTTTTGTTTTGCTTTGTTATTTTGGTTTTGTCCTAAAAGTTACCATTTTGGCAAGTATAAAGTGAAGGAATTATAGTCATTGTTTTGCCAGTATGAAGTCAGGGAACATCAGATGGCTTTAGCATTGTAAACGATACAGATGTTTAGCAGTTGCCCTAAAATAAATTATTATGTAACTGACCTCATGGCAGTTCCTAACAGAATAGAATAGAATAACAGAGTTGGATGGGACATTGGAGGTCTTCTAATCCAACCCCCTGCTTAGGCGGGAAACGCTATACCACTTCAGACAAATGGTTATCCAATATCTT